ATGGGGCGGACAGGCGGGATGACTTGAACAGGAGGGGGAATGACTTCCTCCAAGATTCAGCTGCACAGGTGCCTCCTCCGTGTGACCCAATGACAAATCACAGGCTCTTGACCCATCAATCCTGCCTCCAGTATATCCTGCCAGCATACCCATTTCCTGATACGCCAGGTGGATGCCTGTCCTCCTGCTCAGCAGGTAGAAACATCAGGAAACACCTCCTTATCCATGCTGAGTCATGGAGGACTTGCCCACACCAAGGAATATAACACAGTCGAGAAAAACCCAGAAGAAACCCTCTGGGTACTGTGTACATCTCCCAGGGAGATGAAGCAAAACAAGCAACATGCAGGACAATGGGCAGAGGATGCTAGCATGTGTAAAACACATATTTTTAAAGACATACACATGTACACAAATGTTTGTGCACAGAACATCAGGATTGAGGAGTCGCCTCAGGGGAGATGAGCTGGGAGACTGGGGATGTCCCAGAGGAGGAAAGGGGAGACTTGCTATGTTGAATTTGCATCTTGAATTTGTCCTGGGTATCACTCAGGAGAAAAATGAAACACAGAGAGAGAGAAAGAAGGTGCTTCCTCCCTGGAGCCTTTGCAAACCACCCAGACAGAATGGATCAAGTCCCCCAGCAGCCTTGAAGACAGCTCTTCTCCCTGCCCTCCTCCTGAACTGGGTCCCCATATCATAACTGGGCCCGGGGGCCCAGGCACACAGAAGACCCTCAGAAAGTTTGATTAGGAACAATTAGAGACACAAGGGGCCTTCTCTCCAGCTTCTCCTGCCAACAGATTCCCAGCATCAGTGAATATCCATAAACTCAGGACACAACACCCATTGTTGCCAAGCCAGAGATGTCTTAGAAAACCCTCTCTCTTTCCCACTGGGGGATCCTGCGTGCCGCTGAGACACAAAGGCTTCAGTGGATGGGGACAGAACTCTAATGGTGGTACCCCAGGCAGGGGAGAAGTCTAGGGAAGGAAGGAGGAGGGAATCCTCGGGGACCAGTTAACCAAACATTTCCCACGTGTCTCAAGAGTGACACATCCTACACTGGAGAGCCAACTCAGGCCCTCCGCCCTCAGAGCGCGGGGGACAAACATGGATATGAACCAGTGAATGGGGGGAGTGGGGGGGGTGGCACCGCCCAAGTGATTGTGATTGGCGGAGAAGAGTGTTTCATACCATGGATGTAAAACAGGCAACTTGCTGTTTCCAGTAAAAGTCAGGGAGCTGGTGAGGGAGAGACCCCAAAGAGATCAAGGCAAGATAACCGTGCCCCCCACCCCTCTCCCCTGCAGGGCGGGAGAGGCAGAAAGGCAACCCTTCACTGCTTTCCAAGCCCAGGCCGTCTAGAAAGGAATGCCATGTTTTCCTGTTTCCAATTAACTTCCCCCCACCAGCAGCCCTCTGCATTCTTGAGACCAGGAGTCAAGACAGCCACGGGGCGGGGCAGGGGGGGGGGCTGGGGAGGGCAAACTCTGGTGGTGGCTGGGCCTGGGGTGAAAAGGTGACCCCCCCCAGGACCCTCACACACACCCCAGGACCCCTCCAGCCAGGCTCTCAGGGCTTGGCGCTGACCCCTGGGCCTTCAGAGGGGAGAGGGGGAAGACGCCCCCACATCCCCAGGGAAAGTTGGGGAAGGCCCCAGAGGCCTCTGGGAAGGAAGTTGGCAAATAAGGGGGCGGGGCATAGGCCTGTCACTCTTGGGCCTTACTCATGCTTCCCCCACTTCCCTTCCAACCCCCCAAAATCAGGAAGCACTCACTCCAGAGAGGCCCACAGCCCCGCCCCTCCTGCCCCCACCCCACAGGAATTATTATGACTTATTACGCCTGTCACCTCAGGAAGGTATCTGCAAGGGGTCCCTGAAAGTGTTCACCCTTCTCCAACGGCACCCCCAGCCCCTCCATCCCTGCAGTCTGGGTTGGAATCCCCTCTCAGCCACGGACCGCAGTTTCCTCATCTGTAAAACGGTGAGATCACCCCTACAGCCTCCTTCCCGGGGTAGGTTGGGCCCTCCACAGCCCTTCTCCCTCATGCCACACACCCACCCACCCAAGGGTTTATTTGGCACCAGTAAGTGCTGAAGGGGAAGGGTCCCAGAAAGCTGGAGGAAGGAGGTCACCAAAGTGAAACTATTTACAGTGTGGTGGCTGTCATCCACCACAGAGAATTCCTCCTGGGTGGATGCCTTTTGCCGGTCACCCTCAAATACCCAGTCCCTCAACATTCCTCCCCACCCCTAGAGGCCAGCCATATTTCCGCAGAGTGAGGGGGAAACAAAAATAACACGCGTGGATAAAACTTGCAGCCACTGTGAGTTCAGTTAAAGAGGCTCTAATGGTCCCGCCGCCCCCCCCCCCATCTGCCGATGAGGAAACTGAGGACAAGTGAGTTGAATCTAGTGCCTGAGGTCACAGGGTGGGACAAGGAGCCTGCCACGGGGGCCACGGGGAGAACCAGCAGGGACTTCTCTGCCAGCTGTGTCATGGCACCACGCAGGGTCACAGGGCAGAGCGACAATGAAGGTCCCGAGTAGTTCAGCGTCCCTACCAGCAAGGCTGAGGAGCAGCAAGCTGGGCCAAGAGCCAGCTCAGGTGCAGGAAGAGGATGACAGAGGAGCCAACCGTCAAGGGCCCACCCCCCTCAAGCCCCACACAGAGAGGCCTGGGGCCCCCCTTCTCCCGACCCCCACATCTTCAACCCTCAGCTCCTGCAGGTAAACGCTCTGCTTGGGCCACAGGTGAAAGCACCCTGCCCTCAGCCCAGCTGACCCCTTCCCCTTACCGGTACTTGGTAAGGGGAAAAAAAATTTGGCGACTCCTTCCCAGTCTCATCTACATTTGAGACCCAACTGAAGTCAAAGGGACAAAAATGCCAAAGACAGGTACAGGCAGACCTAACAGTTTTGAGCTGAGCTGGAAAAACTTGAGACGGTTACAGATTGGGGCCGTGTGACCCTGGACGAGTCACTCAACTGCTGTGAGCCTCCATTAGCCTGTCTGCAAAATGGGAATCACATAACTGACCCCCCCAACTTCCTCCTTGGGTTGTGGCCAGTGTGTAGCTCACCTAACAGCAGCTAATCCCTAGTCCCTCTGGGTAGGGAGATGTTATTTCTGGCTTCTAGGCGTGGGGGAGCTCCGAGGGAGGGGCGGGGTGTGTAGGTAAGCAATACCCCTTAAAGCCCGCTAGACAACGGCACGCGGGCGGGGGGGGGGGGGGCGGGGCGGGGGTGGCCCCTGATCTGCCCACCTCCCCGGTTCTCCCATCACCCCAGCAGGTCAGAGATGACGGAGCGCCCCCCCGCCCCCACCCCGCCCAAATCCCAAGTCGGGGGAGAGGCTGAAAGCACGGAGCGCTTATCAGAAACCTCAGGCCGTGAAGTCTGGGGTGTTCCGAAAAACTGTTTCCTTGAGGAGCAGCCGGCGAAAGGAGGTGTGAGGGGAAAGCAGACACATCCCCCCAGATGATTACACTATCGGCGGACGGTGACAAAAGGGGCCGCTTGGCCGGCAGAAGTCCGGGCACCGGCAGCTGCATCCCCGGCCCGGGCACACCGGAGCGCTGGGGACCTGTCACCCCGGCCTCCCGGGGAGCGCTGACACAGCGGCCTCTGACCCCACCTCCCGGGAAGTTCAGCTGCTCAGAACCACAAAGCAAAACAAAGGGGTGCGGAGAGGAAGGAGCCGCCGAGGCTCCAATCACCGCTGCCTCCCCAGCCCGCCCGCGGCTCTTCGCCCCGCTCGCCGCTGGCCGCGGACCAAGGCCTGGGCAGCTCCCCGGTCCCTTGTCTCCCCGCGAGCCGCCCGTGACAGGAGCCGGAGAAGCCGCCGAGGGGCAACCAGGGATGGGAAAACCAGATGGCTCCGGCCCTCCTCCCGCCTCCTCCATCCCTCCCTCCGGGTGCCCGCGGCCTGGCCGCCCTCCGCAGGGGCCCGGGGCGGCCTCGGGCCCGGCTCGGCCGGCTCACCCCGGGGAAAAGATTGCCTTTGTCTAAAGGTCACCACCCGAGCGCGGTGCCCGGGCTGGGCCTGGTGCCTCCCATTCCCCGGCCGAGGGGGTGGAGATGGGGGGCCGCCCCAAATCTCGGGAGGTGACAGGGGTAAGGCTCACTTCCCTCCTCCCCACCACCGCCCTCCCCGTAACGGCCCCCTCCGGGGCCAGCCAGCTAGCGGGGGAGGGGGTCAACTCCTTTCACTGCTGGGGGGTGGGGGACCAAGTCAACTCCTTTCATTGTTTAGGGGCGGTGGGGAGGGGGAGACCCAGTGGCCTCCTTCCGCATCCATCCCCCCCACCAGCTTGCCAGAACCCCGTTTCTCCCCGGCACCCCCGGGAGTGATTTGAGGAGGGGGCGCAGGGCACGGGGCGAAGAGGGGGGACATGAAGGCTCGCCGGCTCCGGCCGGGAAATCACCATCCGCTCCCCCATGGCTCTCTTCTTCTCCGAAAGGCGGGGAGCGGGGCGAGGGGAGGGGGCCCCCGGGTCGGGGGAGGGGGTCTCCCCGCCCCTCCCCCCGTGGAACGTTAGGTCTCGTTTTTCCGCCGCTCCATTGTATCCCCGGCAGCCGGCGGGAGGGCCGGGGAGGCACCGGGCGCCGGGTTTGGGCAGGGGAGCCCGGGGTGGTTGGGTGGGGGGGTCCCCGCAGGATCAGGGCGGCGGTGATGGTGGGAGAGACGCGGGGGGTGGGGGGAAGCTGTCGGGGGTGGTGGGCGCGGAGCAGAAAAAGAGGCAGCGGGCGCTGCGCCCCGGTTGGGGGGCTGAGTGTGTGAGTGTCGGGGGGGTGGGTTCGGCCCCGGCTCCGGCTCCCCCCACACACACCCTCGCCGCCAACCCCCACTCCCCCCTCGCTTTTGCGCCCTGTCACAGCCCCGACTCGCAGGTAGAGAGAGTTAAGAGATTTAAAGAGAAATTGCTACATTGTGAGAAACTCACCCTGATGTTTGAGCAGCCGTCGGCGCGGGGTCTCCGAGACGGCCCCGCACGGGCTGCAAAGGGAGGACCCAGAAGGGGCCGACCGGCCGGGCCGGTCAGCGCACTGCCTGATCGCATGGCGGCCGCCCGGCGGCCTCCGCCAGGCCCCTGCCGCCGCCCCGCGCCGCGGCCCGGGCGCCCCGGACCCGCGCCCGCTCCGGGCGGGACCCCTCGGGTTTGCAAAAAAAAAAAAAAATTTTTTTTAATTAAATGCAAAAGGAAAAAAAAAAAACCTTGCAGGTTTTGTGTTCTGCCCCCCCTTTCCTCCTCCTCCCTCCGCCCTCACCGAGGGACGGGCTTGAGGGAGGCCCCGCCCCGCGACTCGGCGAACCAGCTCGAGCTCTGGGCGCGGAGCGGCGGGCCCGCGAGCGAATGGGAGGCTGCGGACGCCCCGGGAGGGTGACCTCCGCGCCGGCGCCGCCCCCTCCCCAGCCGGAGTCCCGGGGGTTCGGGGGCGAGCTTTCCCAGGCTCCGGTGGAGTCGACCGACAGCGTCGAGCGATGCTCCGGGTTAGAGGGAAAGGCTAATAGCGGGATTAGCGCTCCCGGACCTCGGGCTCGGCTGGGCCGGCTGGGGAGGGGGCGCCGTACGCCCTGGACGCGCCCCGACTCGGACGGTCGCCGGGCGGGAGGACGTGAGCAGGGGCAACGCCGATGGTTCGAAAAGGTAGCGGGAGTTGAGGATGGAGAAGATGGAAGGCCCCGTAGGTGGAATCGCGAAGGAGCCGGGAGTCGGAGTTAAAAGGGTGGAAGGCGTGGGGTCGGACGGTGTTCTGGGGCTCCTCGCCGGGACCCCGAACGCGGCTTGCTCACTCACCTCAGTCGGCCTTTTGAGCTGCTACGGCCCCGGGGAGGGCGCCGGGGACGCGGGTCCGACCTGTCTCACCGCCTCCTCAAGGCCTCTCGGATCGCGCAGATGGGATTCCCAGAAGCCCCGGGACGCCTCGGTGGTGTTGGGTCTGTTTCCGCCTCGCCGGGCTGTGTACGCCTTGCGGGCGTGACACTTGGATTCGCGCGTTCCTTCAGAGAACGCTTGCAGAGCGCCTGCAGTGTGCCCTGCGCCGTGCCCGGGCCCCATTGAGCACCCAGACAGCTCGGAGCTACCCTCCCCGGGCGCACAGGTCAACGGCACCTACACTCTGGTCTGTTACCTTCCGCTTCCCCGGTGCCCTGGAAAAGCCACGTGCATACCGAAGCGACTCAGTAATAATGTGTGTTGAATAAACGAGTGATTGTTTTAAGCTTTGTGTTTTAAGCTTTAGAACTGATCCTAGGATCTTGGTGGCACTATTGCATATTATTGAAGAGACCACGGAGGTCCAGGGCCCTGACTCCAACCAGTGAGTCCTTGGTTCACATCCTCCCACTTCCTTTGCTGTGTGACCTTGGACAAACTACTTCACCTCTCCGTACCTCCGTTTCTAAGGGGACAATCAATAACAGGCCTCATTTCATAGGGTCATTAGAAGAGAATGTTCTCATGAAGAGCAGCACCTGACAGGAAGTGCAGATAAGTGCTGTTATTATTATAGCAAAAAGGAAATTTCATCCTTTTCAGATGTGAGCACATGTATTGCCCCAAACATAAGACAGTAGTTAATCTATAAGTTATATAGTGGTCATCCACAGTCCGTGGAGGTATGTGATCCTTCCAGGAACAGCAGTATACATGGACATTATTTTTGTGCAGTTTGCCTTTCATCTGCCAAGATTGAGCCTCAGGGGCTACACCTTGAGTATTCATGTATGTGCTATTTTTCCAGTCTTCACCAGAAAAGAGACCTCCAGGGACCCCCATCTGGAGGTCTTTAGTGATTCCCACCTTGCTGTTCAGTCTGGAAGCTGTGTCTGACTTTGTGACCCTGTGAAGTGCAGCACACCAGGCCTCCCCCCTTGCAGTGTAGAAAACTAACTTGGCTCAGAGAGGGGAAGTGTTTTGCCCAGGGTCACACAGCCAGCAAGTGGGACCTGATCTGAGCTGGGTGGTGCTGATGTCCCAGAGATGCCAATCCTGGGGGACTTGGGAATTGACTGGGGTTCAGAGTTAGCAGACAGGAGGCATTGCGGGGCTGACTATCCAAGTCTATTCATTTATACAGGAAGTATTGTTTATGAGTATCTAGTCTGCCAGGAATATAGTTGTGACCAAGAGCACCCTGGTTCCTGCCCCAGGATGCAGTCTGATGATGAGCAAATAAGTTGCTTAGCCTCAGTTTCCCCTGCCCTCTGTGGCAGGTTCCAGGCTTCTTTGGTGCACTGTGGTACCCCCCACCCCCCAACACACACACCCCAGTATAGTACCTGGCACTTAGTAAGCGCTCCAGAAAGATCTACGAAACCATGAGATAATGCCCACCCTTCCACAGGCATTCTCGTAGGACCAGGTGGCCAGGAATAGGTATGGGTATGAAAGAAGCCCCCAGTCTAGCCATGGCTGGCAAAGCCCTGGGAGGTCAAACGTCCAAGCCAGAGGAGGGGTCAACACGGGCCCAAATGGAAAGGGACTTGCTATCTTTTGCAGGGGAGTGACACACACCTTCACTTTGCGGGTGAGATGCAAGTTGGGAGTTCAAGATTCAGAATGGAGTTGGCAGTGAGACTCAGAAAGGTTCAGCAACTTGGCCCAGGGGTCCCCAGCCAGGGGAAGGACTTATTCAATGCACCCGGGTGTTCTGTTTGTCTCTGAGTCACCAGATGAACCTGGGGCAAGCCACTTCTGCAGCCTCCTCCATGTTCTCATCTGTACAGTGGGACTGTAGAATCAAACACTAGAATTCACCTCCCCCAACATTTTCTTATGAACATTTTCAAACATGGAAAAGTGGAAGAAATAGAACAGCGAACACCAAATACCTGCCACGAGCACATTCAACCATCAGCACGCTCCTCTCCTTGCTGTGTCACACACCTGTGCCTCTATCTGTTCATCAAATCCGTCTCATTTTTTTGATGCATTACACACATCTGTGTATCTCTCCCAAACACATGGTTAACACTACTGTAATAACAGGCCCCTGAGCCAGAGAATTAAACCTCAATTCTCATTTTATGTATGTGAATGAGAAACCAGAGAGGGTAAGAAACCAGATCAAGGTCACACAGCTGGGGATTCAAACCCAGCTCTGTCTGGTCCCAGAGTCCAGACTTTATGAAGACCACCCGGAGGATGAAATGGATACAAGACATGCAGAAACTCTTCTGAGACAGAGACAAAACAGCATTCAGATGTAAGAAATGAGGGCTGGAGAAGATGCACCCAACTTTTCTCAGTAAGCAAATATGCTACATCCCTGTAGCCAACGTGAGCTTGGGTTTCCGGGCCCCTCATCTCATTTAAGGGCTGTTTTAATTATAATCGTGCAGCAGAAGAGAACAGCTGGAAACTGCCTCCCCCACCCCACCCCCCCACACACACTCATTTGCCATGGAAAAGTGCAGGACACTGGAAAACTAATTTGCCCTCTCCAAGTGGCCAGGATGCCTAGTTCCACTTTTAGTCCACCGGTTCCAAGTTCCCCAGGCTCTCCCAACACTCCAGCCCAGAAGGCTTCCCTCCCCCACCGCATTTTCTGTCCCACCCCCTCACATTTCTAGTCCTCCACCCCACTCTCTCAACCAGACCCTAATCCCCTTTATCTCCAACTGCCTACACCTCCTCCTACCCCTCCCACAGCCCAGCTCCTACCCAGCGGGAGCCTGACCAGAGTCTGGCCTGATTACCATCTCTCTACAGAGAGGCGTGGTTTTCCTTTTTCTTTCTCTCTTTTTTTTAAACAAGCGGTTTGTGCCTCTGAAAATCAAAACAACGCCCATCGCGGCTCCTCCCTCGCACCCGCAGCTGCGAAGTTTAAAACTTGGTCAACTCAAGTTGCTTTTTGATTTGGGAGGATGTTTCCACGGGTGTTTTTCGTTCTCAGCTGAATAGCACGCTTAGGATTTGTGCACTTTCTGGAGGCGTATAAATGATTCCATAACAAGAAGGAACAAAACAAAAAACCTTGCCCCGAACACCCCTGCGGACCCTTCACGTCTCGGTCAATCCAACGTCAGGGACCCGAATTCTAGCCGCCAAGTGGGGAAGAATAGGGCTCGGAGGGCACTGACTCCGGAGCGACCTTCGCCCTCTGACCGCGCCCTTTAAACGTTCCGCGTACTGCAGGAAAGCGCTGCCCTAGCTCCCAGAGACGCTGGCTCGCCGGCTGCGCCAAGACCGCGAGCGGCCGCAAATCAGGCAGATACAAGTCCAGCCCGACCTCGGGTCCTCAAAGCGGCAAGTGCGAGGGGCGGGGCCCAGCCGCCCATTGGCCCGCGTTGGGGGCGGGGCCACGTCTTCGTCCCGCCCCCATTCTCCGCCAAGTTAAATAGGTTTCGCGCCGGCCGGGGGAGTTATTCACCATGGGGCGGGGTCGGGGTTTGTTTACACTCTGCTATTGGCTGGATTTGAATCGGCCCGACTGCCGGCTGCGGGGCGGGGCTCCAGAGGGCCCTTGCGGGCGCCTGACAGCTTCAGCGAGGCAGAACCCGCGCCGGACGCGCAGCTGAAGCATCGGGACCCTGGAGACGAGCGTACCCTGGGCGAGTGCGGGCAGCGGGGGCCCGCAGGTTTGAGCCTTCCTCTGGCTTCTTGATAAATGCTAACCAAGGGCGTAGGGACCATTGTTTTTGTTTCCATAAAAATGCATAAAGAAAAACAAACCCTGAAACAATCTAGCTGCCCATGGATAGGGGACTCAAATAAGCTGTGATCTGGCCCATAGTGGGCTTCCCAGGTGGCGCTAGTGGTGAAGAACCCTCCCCCCAATGCCAGACACCTAAGAGTCTAGGGTTCGATCCCTGGGTGGGGAAGACCCCCTGGAGAAGGAAATAGCAACCCACTCAAGTATTCTCGGCTGGAGAAGCCCATGGACAGAGGAGCCTGGTGGGCTACAGTCCATAGGGTCGCAAAGAGTCGGACACTACCGAAGCGACTTATCACTCACGGAGTGGGACGTAAACATAAAATGAGGAAGTAATACATGAACTGACACGAAATGAGCTATGAATTCAGCTAAGGGGAAAAGACAATAAAGGAAGCAGAGTGTATAATAATTTAAGGTGGGTGAGAAAATGTAAGCTTCTGCTTGTTAAACACAGAATATCTTCGAAAGGAGAAACAAGCTACTAACTGCAGATGTCTGTGGAGAGAGAGAGCGAGGTGCGTGGAAGGGAGATCACTTCGGACCTTTGTAAAGTTAGCAACTTGTAGCACCTATTCAAAGACAAACGGGGTAAACAAAAATATTAAATTCTGAGAACTCTCCCCACGTATCTCATATCTCGAAGCAACTGCCCCTAGGAAAACTCTTGACTTGGCTATAGAGGTCATGGGCCCCTAATCTGCGCTCCCTGCATCCCACAATGGTATTGGGGAGTAGGAACGCGTTAGGAAAGAGCTGCTTCACCTACTCAATGACCAAGAGATACCCGCATCCAATGAAGGGTGGTTTTATCTATTAGTAATCACTGCAGGATTTAACATCCCGACTGGGAGGGAGGGGCCGCTTCCTGAGAGATGCTAAGTGGAGAATGTGGGGAAGGCCCTCTTGAGAAAAAGTCAAAACTAGGAGAGGCCCCTTTAAGAAGGAAAGCCAGCCTCCTCCGGTAAACGACGCGAGGCTGACGGAACTGACCGGCAGAAGGGAGAGTTGTCCGGATTTTGACGTTTGTTATTACTCTCCGCTCCCGGAGATCTGGAGGCGAGGATGAGAACGATTTCCTGCAGCTGAGTTTTGACCTGTTATGGATCTTACTTGTAAAGACTTCCTCTGTATAAGTTCGCTAAAGGATTTGTGAAACATTGTTTACATGGCTGGGAAAGTCACCCAGGCCCGGAGTGAAAACTTGACGGGGCTTACGCGTAGTTTTAAGGAACACGCCTATCCGAGCTGGCGTTGCCGGCCCAGGTACACAGATAAACTCGGTGAATGCTCCAAAGATCCTCGCAGCTTCTAACAGCAACACGTTTTACGAATGTGGAAACTGAGTCACAGAGAGGTTATACAGCTGCCCGCGTCTGGCGTCACAGCTATTTGGACCCTGGCAGTTCTGCTCCAAAGTTCATACTTTTAACGACTATTTTACACTTGCCCCTAAAAACTGCTTTGTCTTTTGATGCATTGTTTTAAAAGCCATAAAAAGCTTAATGCAGATTCTTAAGGACGGTGAACCATTTTCTATGCTT